ACAGCCAGGTACTATGTCCGGGATGGTTGTTCTCAATGATATTCCTGTGTTCGCTTTATTCGATACTGGAGCGACGCATACCTTTATATCACAACGATGTCTTGATGCCATCGGAGTTCACGCCATTACCGCTGTCGATCCTCTCGAGGTGAGTTTAGCCTCGGGACGAAAGATAGTGACCTCAGCTAAAGCCTCAGATCTTGGCCTTTCCATCGGCGGCCGAGTATTGACTGCCGACGCGTTTGTTCTCGAGATGAGGGACTTCGATCTTATTCTCGGGATGGATTGGCTATCCTTCTATCATGCTGACATCAGGTGTCATGACCGGGAGATTACTCTCTATCTTCCGGGAGACGAGTCGATTACTTTCTTCGGCTCCAGGAATCGTTCACTACCTCAGGTGGTTTCAATGGCGAAAGCTACTAAGCTATTGCGATGAGGCAACTGCCAGGGTTACCTGGTGAGCCTTGTTGAGGATTTTCAGAAAGCGCGGACACCTCATGATGTTCCAATCGTTCGCGAGTTCGTGGACGTGTTCCCAGATGAGCTTCCCGGAGGACCGCCCAACCGTCAGGTGGAGTTTTCTATCGATCTTATTCCAGGGGTCGGTCCAGTATCCAAAGCCCCATATCGCATGGCGCCTAAGGAGTTACAGGAGCTTAAGAGCCAGATTCAGGAGCTGTTACGACTCGGTTTCATCCGACAGAGCGTGTCACCTTGGGGAGCACCCGTTCTCTTTGTTAAGAAGAAGGACGGATCTATGCGCATGTGTATCGACTACCGGGATCTTAACCGGTTGACGATCAAGAATAAGTATCCGCTTCCCAGGATCGACGACTTATTTGATCAGCTGAGGGGAGCCTGTGTGTTCTCAAAGATTGATTTACGATCAGGCTACCACCAGCTGAAGATTAAGGAGTCAGATATCGCTAAGACCGCTTTCAGGACTCGTTACGGCCATTAGGAGTTTGTTGTCATGCCTTTCGGTCTCAGTAATGCGCCAGCTGTTTTCATGGACCTCATGAACCGTATTTTCCATCCCTACCTCGA